ATATATATATATATATATATTAAATTTAACCGTTGAAATATTTGGCAATATATATAATAAAGAAAATTTTTTAATAAAATATTAAAACAACGTACCGAATGTATGGGAATCATTTTTATCATGCGTCAATACAATATCTAATGTCTGCGGACGCATCGGTTTTTCGGATTCTTGACCATTTCCTCTTATATGAGTATCACTGATTTTAGATACAGATTCCATCTTGGATATGTTCTCATTGTCATGTACGCTGGTCTCATGTACCATAAAAACATCTTTATTATTCTCAGTAATATCTTGACAGTATACTTTTTTTTCACGATCTATGTTTTCTGATAAATTTAATAAAGTATCGCTGTTGTAATCTTGTGATAGAATGTCTCTATTAGAATCTTGTTGTAATTTCTGTACCACATTATTACTACAAAACTGTTCTCCAATATTTTCAAATTTCGATGAAATTTTCTCTTGAACAATGATACATGTTTGTAAGGTATTCTCTTGTATTGCTACAGGTTGACCGATTATTTCGGTTACATGGTTATCTTTTGTTGTTTTGTCTAGCTCATTACTTTTCGTGTGTTTTAGTTGATTACTTTTTAAATCGAATTTTACTGTATTATTACATTTTATATCTACTATATTTTCATTACATATATCCGTGTTATAATCAATTACAGGAAATTTTTTCGTCTTTTGAAATTCCTGCTGTGATATTTTTGGGAGCTCGCCTATCATAATTTTCTCAAATATCGGCGCTTCATTAACATCTTCGTCATCTCGTTGACAATGATTGGCATTCTTTTCTCTATCTCTTCTCAATTCATACGATTGTAACAACCTGGTATTATCCGAAAGTGATATATTATCCGTTTTAGATCTGTCTTCTTTCTCTAACTCTAATAAATATTGATTTAATTCTTCTTCAGAAAAATCGTCGCTGGTATCAATTGTACGTATCATACGTACATTAGAGAAAATGTCACTTTTAGTTGTTTCTATATTATTATCTTGATTTTCACTGCTTGTTATATTTTTATCCAACTTTTTAGTCTCTACTATGCTTTCTTTATTTTCAACAAATGTGTATTTGTCGATGAAATTTCGCCTATCCAAGTCTAACTGCTTTTGTTTGCTAATAAATCTGTCAGAATTTTCTTCAAATGTATCATTAGCTATGACCTTTTTATCTACATCACCTTTGTTACTAGACAATTCTGTACCTATTACATCATTATGATTTGAGATGGCCGTTTTTGGTACAGAAACTATAGAATTATTTTCTTCAGACTGTATCGAAATAGGATGATCAAACATAATATTTTGCATCGTATTATCCTGTTTGTTATTAATTTCAACTTTAACGAACTTATTTAATTCCACCGGTAAAATATTTTTATGGTCCAAAATATTTTTGTCAATTACATTAATTATCCCTTTCTCCATTGAAATTGAAGAAAGTTCATTAATGGCCACATCTCTGTTCAATTTAAAATCTTTCTCCACTGCGTCATCTGTGGATCTTTCAAATAAATCGTCTTTATCTAATATAGGTTCAACATAATTTAAACTTCCAGTAGGAGCATTAATATATTCGTTCAAACTATTAAACACATTGCTAATACTAGGCTTGAAATTTAGTTGATTTAATTTTTTGTCGTATCTATCACCATCTTTCGAATCACTACTTGCATTCTGTTGTTCCTGCACCGAATTTTGTGATGTATTATTATACATCGTTGAAGACATTTCATCAAAATCAGGATAAGTATGAACACATGATTTCTGCCCAATTGTGATATCATTGATACGATCATGTGTGTAGAAATTATTTACGGATTCTCTACTCTCCGATATAAACACTATCTCCTTTTCAGTTAATGAATATTTGGAGTCAATGTCTATTGGTTGAGTATCTCTATAGTTTTCAACAGACGGTACATCGATTGTTACGCCTTTCTCATGATTAAAGTTACATATTTTCGGAACCACAGATTCATTATGCTTCTCCACAGCTGAAGCTTTGATCGTAGAAGTTGCGACTGACGCTATTTGTTCTGCGCAATCTGAAAAAATAATCTAATGTAAAATTTTATAAAATAATATGAATAATAAGGCTCAATAAATTATAAATTACTATAACATTAGAGGGCTACGAGCCAAAAATTAAAATATAACGTTATTAATGGTAATAATAATATAAATATATTTAACGCAAGTTTAACATATAATTAATCGCAACAATAAAAACAGAACAATAAAAGAAAAATATAAAAATATATATAATATCACGTTTCAATCATTGATAAAATTTTTTTAAATTCGATATTTTCTTGAGTTCTGGTAGCCCCCCCTTCCCTCCCCTCCTCCCCCCCCCCACTCCCCCAATATTGTTTTCATCACTTCGATCGACGGAATCCTTTCTAAAACTGATAGATAACTCTAGAATTCTTCAGAGGGCAACCAGTACGCTGCTTATTTTTCCAAATTTTGAAAAAGTGACCTTATATGTTGATTTCCTTACTATTTAAATCTTATGTCTTAAGTTTTTCTATGTACCAAGATCTTTATTGTAGAAAGCCGATAATACTAAAATTAGCAAGGTATGACTACAGGTATACTATGAGTGACCATATATGTTTGCAAATAAAAATTTCTGCTTCATCTTTGTGTATATATACTAATAAACTTTATTCGCGTTTGTGTATTAGATACATGTTATTTGTTTTATTTCACACATTCTTAAAGATTTATACATACTTTTCAATATATTATAGCGTTTTTCACTGAAAAAATTCATCAATAGCCGAGTGCTGATATAGCACCAGCGCCATGCTAGATTTTGCAATGAAATCTGCACTGGTGCAGTAATATTGCAGGTTTAGTGTGGTTCAGTAGAACATATCATTGAATTACTTATTTTATAATAATATTCTAATTTATTTATTTCTTACAAAAAACTTTTTGATTAACTTTTCTTAAATTTCAAAACTTTTCAACTCAAAATGTTTATATTATTGCATAAATATTACTACACATACTGAAACTGAAAACAATATTGTTGTTATGAAATTAATTAGATTAATATATCTAATATTATACCTTAATATGGGCACTTTTTTGTTATACAACCAGAAGTGATCATGGCTAAGGCTATCTTCGTCTTTAGGGATCAGAAGACGAAAATAGTCTTAACCGCGGTTCCATAATAAAAGAACACCCCATATCAAAAAATAAACACAACCTCCTTAAGACGGTGCAGAAAAAATTGAACTCGGTGCAAATTTTTTGCACCAGTTAAATCAGTGAAACATTAAGGAGGTTCGCCTATTATTTTGGAGTCAAAAATACGACTGAAATAAATTGTCATTATAGCGATTCTGTATCATATGCAATATTAGTGTAATGAATTGTGGATACTATTTATGTGCTATATTATTAGTAAATTATTAGTGTAAAGAATATTAATAAATGTATGAGATTGTCAACGACTTAAGTGGTCGAGTGTATATTTGGCAACATTACACTGCGTTGCACTTCGCGATGTGACGGGCAACGACTGGCTATGGCGAATGATAAGAGAGAAATTATATATTACAGAATCGGTATAAAAGTCGATTTTGTAATATTTTCATATCTGTTTCTTTACGCCAAGATAGATTCTAAGTTATATGAAGGGCTTCGTATCAGCTGTGCACTGCGGCGTTGCCAAGTCTGTTACTACTAAAGGCGCGCTTTCATGCAGCGTTAAAACACTAGCTACAGTAAGGCACTATAATACTATAATCAAAGAGGTTGTATATATAGAGTAGGCAAGGGACCTCTGTAAGTAGAAATGTTAGACAGTAGAAAAAGAAAGAATACGCGATAGCCATCTTTATCTTTGTCTAATGTTGCGCCGCGCATAGAACTTTGAAAGCTGAGAGGAGTAAGTAGGGTAGTAAGAGGGATTCTAACTCAAGGGCAACGAGGGGGGGGGGGGGGGGCCGGCGGGGCGCGGGGGCGGGGGGGGGGGGGGAGGAAAGCCGTGGCGCGGTATTGTTGGGGTATGACGTCACAGGGGGTGACGTCACAGGGCGAGGGGGCTGACGTCACGGAGGGGGAGGGAAGGGTATAACGTCACAGGGGGTGACGTCACTAGGCGAGGGGACTGACGTCACGGAGGGAGAGGTAGGAGATGATGTCACAGGAGGTAATGTCACTAGGTGAAGGATGACATCGCGGAGACACAGTATATACAGTAGCGCAACTCTCCCGATTTTATGTTGGCCAAAATGGAGTGCGCATGCGTCAAATAAGCAAGTTGCTCCGTCTCATTTCCTCCTTCTTTATGCTCTCTCTCTATTGAAATAACCGTTTCAATGTTCCATTTAAAGAGCTGAGAGTAGAAATTTGGAGGGAAATATAACGTGCAATCGTACATCGTCCATTTAGCGAAGTGTTGTGTAAGAAACCTCAAGAGACTAGTCTCGTGAAAAAGTGAAATAAAGTGAAAAAGTGAACAAAAATAAAGAAAACCGAGCAAGAAAGATTTCTT